CAGAATTATGATAGTATATCCCAAGGGGAAAAAGAACTGCAAAAAAATCCTAAATTGAATCCAGTTGTTTTAGTGTTAGTAAAACAATATTGGTATTGTTGTTTTGAAAATATCAGATATACATAATGTTGTAAATTAAAGCAAACGAATAATTATGTTAATGTTGTTAGGAACCTGCACAGTCAGGGTAAAAGAATACATATTTTTTTCAAAATATTTTTACATGTTATATATTTTTCAAAGATGTTGAGTAAAAATTCTATAATTTTCCATTGAATTGGAAATTGAAGCATGAACTCATGATATATTTTTCTCTTTCTACAAAAATGTTTTAAAATACATAAGTCATGGGGATGAGAGTACAGCACAGGAAATAGACTCAATGACATTGCAATTAAATTTGGTGACCAATGGTAACTAGACTTATTGTGAGGATCATTTTGTAATGTATAAAAAGATGGACTCGCTATGATTTACACCTGAAACTAATAGGATATTGTTTTTAATCTTTTAATTTTTCCTGATGCTCTGTAAGGTCTTACCACATACTGTTTCATAAGCAGTGTCTGATTAAACAGTTAGTCCCCTATTGTCTTTGTGAATGGAATACATCAGTGTTTCCTTCTTTTTCTGTAAAGAGCCAGATAGTATTTTAGGCTTTGTGAGCCATGTGTGGTTCTATGTGGCAACTACCTCACTCTTCTGTTGTTGCAAAAGAGCAGCCATAGATAATAAGTAAACAAAAGGATGTAGTTGTATTCCAATAAAATGTATTTATTCATCAAAATTCAAATTTCATATAATTTTCATATATCACAAAATATTATGCTTCCTTTGATTTTTTTCAACATTCTAAAAATGCAAAAACTATTCTCAGCTCACAGGCTGTATAGAAACAGTGGACCAGATTTGGCTCACCACAGACGTAAAAGATGTAAAGTCAATTACTCTTTTTTTTTCTTTTTTAAATTTAATGCTTATTTTTGCGAGACAGAGAGAGAGAGAGACAGAGACAGACAGAGTGTGAGTGGTGGAAGGACAGACAGAGAGGGAGACACAGAATCCAAAGCAGGCCCCAGGCCCTGAGCTGTCAGCACAGAGCCCAACGTGGGGCTCGAACTGACAGACTGAGAGATCATGACCTGAGCTGAAGTCAGAGGCCTAACTGACTGAGCCACCCAGGTGCCCCAAAAGTCAATTATTCTTACAGTATTTTTCACCTTGTTACTGAAACTGTATATATTTTTTGACTCGTGAATCATCCTATAAATTAGACCCATATCTCTGGCTTTCTCAGAGCAAAGGTGTCTCCAGAGGGGCTGTCTTTAATACTGATTTAGGGTGAATTCCAATACAAATTTATATCTTTTCTCCAAACTCCAACTTCACAGCTTCTCACAGAGAAGGTCATTACAACAGGAACTGCAATTCATGCTAAGGTATTCATTGGAGTGTTTTTTAGAACAGTAAAAAAACCCAAAGCAACTCATCAATAGGATTTTGTTATAAAAATTATGTAATTCCTAAATAAATCTATGGAATTCTGGGTAGCCATTAAAAAGGATGAGGTCTGGTGCACCTAGGGGGCTCAGCTGGTTAAGCATCCAACTCTTAGTTTCAGCTAAGGTTATGATCTCACGGTCTGGTTGTGAGATTGAGCCCGCAGGTCCGTGGAGTTGGCTTAAGATTCTCTATCACTTCTCGGCCTTTTGGCTAAGATCAAGTGAAGATTCTCTCTCTCTCTCTGTCCCTCCTCCACTTGCACGAGTGTACTTTCTTTCTCCCTCAAAAAAATAAATAAATAAAACCTACTTAAAAAAAAAAAAGGATGAGGTCACCAGTAAGTGGAAAAAAAATAAGTAGAACAGTACTTACAATATGATCACATTTCATGTACTTACTTAAACTGTACAAAAAAACATTTATTTATTTATGTTTATTTTTGAGAGAGACAGTGCAAGTGGGGGAGGGGCAGAGAGAGAGAGACACACACACACACACACACACACACACACACACACACACAGAATCTGAAGCAGGCTCCAGGCTCTAAGCTGTCAGCACAGAGCCCAACGTGGGGCTCGAACCCATGAATCGGGAGATCATGACCTGAGCCAAAGTTGGACGCTTAACCGACTGAGCCACCCAGGTACCCCTAAAAATCTTTTACCCATCCTGAATTAGTCCCAATGCAGAAAAGGTGCTCACCACTGTCCTAGAAAAACTTTTTACTTTCCAAAATATTCTGGCCTTCCCATTAAATCTGTGTAACCACATTAAAAAAAAAAAAAAATGAGAGAGAGAAAAAGTGTGAGCAGGCAGAGAGGGAGAGAATCCCAAGCAGGTTCTGCGCCCTCAGGGCAAAGGATATTTCCACCGTCTAGATTTTCTCTTACATTTATATATCTAACCATTAAGGATGGTTTACTGAGTGTGTAATACAAGGAACAAGACAAAAGCATGAGATCATGAACCATGAGATCACAACCTGAGGTGAAATCAAGAGTCAGATGCTTAACAGACTGAGCCACTGAGGCGTCCCTGTAACCACATTTAATGTCAGTCTAAATATACTCACAGATTTACTGAAAGACTAGAAATGGATTTAACCATCAGGTACCAAAAGAGTTTTAGATTTGACTATGTTTATAACCTTTCCTGAACATTCAGGTCTACAACTTGAAGTTGAATATCATGTTCTTCCACATGAGAGTTCTGTTCAGACTCAAACTTTTATAATTTTTTTTAAGTTTATTTATTTTGAGAGAGGAAATGTATGTGTACTCACACACGTGCAAGCAGGGGACGGGCAGAGAGAGAGGGAGAGACAGAATCCCAACTAGGTTCCGTGCTGTCAGATCTCACGATCAGTGAGATCATGACCTGAGCCAAGATCTTAATCTTAACTGACTGAGCCACCCAGGCACCCTTCAAGTTTTTGACATAGAAAAATGTTGAAGTGTGGCACAATTAAGTTCCACAGAGGGCTTCAGCATATCGAGGATAAAGGGTTTCCACTACTGAAGGCAATCAAATTATGAAAGAAATCAGCATTCCATTGGTAAACTATGAATCTGGCGTCTAAAGTCTACATCCTAAGACCCATTCATTCATAGAAAACCATTTGTGCATACCAAACAGAAGCTATTGGAGTCACCAAACATTTAATCCATAGATCATCTCAGAAATCAAAAGAATCTCTAAAATATGTAGTCAAGATATCCGCACCAATTCCTGCCTCCTCAAATTCTTCCTTAGAAATGAAAAGCAAGCAATTGTCAAAGTCCACACACCCAATATCCACCACCTCCCCAAATCTTTCTTTATTACATACCAAACTTTGTATAGTATTCCCATTATATGTCCTTTACTTGCCAAATATTTTTAGCACCATGTGCCACACTGTTCTACATGCTTTATATTAACCTATTAAAATTTCACAATAACCTCTGAAGTAAGTACTATTATTATCTCCATTTTGCAGGTGAACTGAGGTGTGAAAGTTAATTTTATGTGTCATTTTGGCTAAGCCATGGTACTCAGAGATTTGGTGAAACATGAACCTAAATGTTGCTATGAAGGTGTGTTAGATGATATAAACATCTAGGTAGACTTTGAGTTAAAGCTGATGACCCTCCATATTCTCGGTGGGACCAATCCAGTCAGTTGAAGGCCTTAAAAGAAAAAAGACTGTCCTCCATGCCTCCCAACTCTACCCTACCCACCCCAAGAAAAAGGAATTATGCTTCTACACTGCTTTTTGGATCTGCGTTGTAACACCAACTCTTCAGGTCTACAGCCTGCTGGCCTACCCAGCAGAGTTCAAACTTGAAAGCCCCAACAATCACAAAGAACAATTCCTTAAATCCCCACCCTCTACACACACCACATACACCCTATTCTTTTTCTCTGGTGAACCCTGGTTCAAACAACAGGTAAGGGTACTTGGTCAAAGTCATAAAGCTAGAAAGTGCAAAAGTTGGAATTCAAACGCAAGTGCTCTAAACTCAGAGACTGGGGGCGCCTGGGTGGCTCAGTCGGTTAAGTGGCCGACTTCAGCCCAGGTCACAATCTCGCGGTCTGTGAGTTCGAGCCCCGCGTCGGGCTCTGGGCTGATGGCTCAGAGCCTGGATGCCTGCTTCCGATTCTGTGTCTCCCTCTCTCTCTGCCCCTCCCCTGTTCATGCTCTGTCTCTCTCTGTCTCAAAAATAAATAAAGGTTAAAAAAATTAAAAAAAATTAAAAATAAAAAAATAAACTCAGAGACTGTATTCTTCTTGAGTCACTGAATTCAGTGATAGCTAAATGAAGAAAAAAATGGAAAATTACTCACCAAGTAGACATTATTTGCTGACTGTAGCGAATAGTACAAATGGACAATGAAAGGACTTTTGCTTAGTGCTAGTGCGTCCCTCTCGGCTTGCACCTGATGTGTCATATTTTTGTTGATCATATCTGCTTTTTTGACAACCTATGGTAGACAACATGATAACACATTCATTTTATTTTTTATTACAAAGTGTTCTCAAGTTTCAGAGTTGCCTTTTGTGAAAACAACCAGATGAAAGAAAAAGATGAAGAGAAAACAAAGATGTCATTTGTACTCCACATTGCCATCAGGAAACTGTCAGAAAAACAGCAAATATGGTGAAAACAAATCAAACCTTTTTTCAAGAGAACTGCTTATTTTGGCGTCAAGTGGCAAAAGTATCACATCCTTTTTGAGAAGGAAAAAGAAGTAAACAAATGTTCCCTTAGTGCCCTGCATATTAGTAGAAAAAAAGTTCCATTCTACTGTTCTTTTAACAAAGTCAAAGGATAGTGATCTTCCTCCTAATAAGCCCCCATAATCAGGAACCTACGCACAGAGAATTAGCAGCTAGTAAATTTTTTTAACTTCTGATTCTTTGATGGATGGGAATTAGAAAGAGGAAGAACATAGGAAGTTTGTTTGCCTAGGAAAAAAAAATCTTAAGAATGGTTAGAACTACTGAAAGTTAATAGTCTCAAATGTTGTCTTACAGAAAATAACAAGTTTCAAGTTTCAAGGTAATTGGTGTGGAAGCAAAACTATGATATAATCTACATTAAAATTGGAGCACTAACCTGAATAGTCAGCAACACTGAGATCAAATCTCAGGATGATTAAAAGTCATATTTCTTCCAAAGATTCATTAGAATATTTAACAAAATTGGGGCGCCTGGGTGGCGCAGTCGGTTAAGCGTCCGACTTCAGCCAGGTCACGATCTCGCGGTCCGTGAGTTCCAGCCCCGCGTCAGGCTCTGGGCTGATGGCTCGGAGCCTGGAGCCTGTTTCCGATTCTGTGTCTCCCTCTCTCTCTGCCCCTCCCCCGTTCATGCTCTGTCTCTCTCTGTCCCAAAAATAAATAAACGTTGAAAAAAAAAATTAAAAAAAAAAAAAGAATATTTAACAAAATTATTAATACACTATAAATTCCAGCCTTATAACCTTTCCATAAGAAAACAAGGAAATTGGCAAAGCCAGTCTGTAACATGATTTCACCTATGACTCCACTAGATTGGAAGCTCTGTGAGGGCATGTTTGTTTTGTTTACCACTGTACCCTAGATCCTACACACAAAGGGGACACTCAACAAATATCGAAAACATGAATTGATGTTTTCATTTTAATAAGTGATAATGACTGATCAGCAAGTTCAGCAGAAGGAAAAGCAACATATGAAGCAAGGAAGAATTAAATTCAATGGGGTGTGTCTGAGAGGTCAGGGAAGGTTTGAAGAGGGGCTAAGATGAACCTTAATACATAAATAACACAGGTGGAGATGAGCAGAGAAGGGTGGAAGAAAAGCACTTAAGGAGGAACCAGCACAAACGTAAGTTCAGAAGCACAGCACTACACAGCATTCATGGACTAGTCAATTATCTGGAGTGGCTAGAACATAGGATTTGTGGAAGTTACAGTTGATGTTTAGGGCCTGGACTTGGACCATGATTGCTTTCCTAAGGAGTTTGTTAGGTTGCATGTCACAGCCTAAGGAATGGATGAAAAAATAGCGATTCCAGTTAGGGGCCTATTCCTGGAAATGAAGGCCTGATGAATCTCAAAAACACTGTCAGGTAAAAAAACAAAACAAAAAAAATAAAACAAAAAACACACAAAAAACAAAACAGATGCAAAAGACCATGCATTGTATGATTCCATTTACATGCAATGTGGAGAAAGGGCAAACCTGCAGAGACAGAAAATAGATTGGTGGTTACCTGGGGCTAAGGGTGTTAAGGGGGAGGTACTGCAGATGGGCAGGAAGTCTTTTTGGGGTGATGGAAATGTTCTAAAATTGGATTGTGGTAATAGTTACCCAATTTTTAATTTACTAAAAACTGACTTGTACTTTAAAAAAGAAAGAAGGGAGACAGGGAGGGAGGAAGAAAAGACAAAAGAAAAAGAAAAAGTGAAGTCCTGTGCTTGGGCAGACTTGGGAACGTAATAGAATGGAAGAGATAATAAGAAGGAATACCAGACGGGGTGCCTGGGTGGCTCAGTCGGTTGAGCTTCTGACTCTTGGTTTTATCTCAAGTCACGCTCTCACATTCCGTGAGTCCGAGCCCCTCATCAGGCTCACACTGGCAGTACGAAGCCTTCTTGGGATTCTCTCTCTGTCCCTCCCCCGCACACTCTCTCTTGAAACGAATAAATAAACTTTAAAAATTTTTTAAAAAGAGAAGGAATATGAGACAAAATTGACAGGACTAGTTGAGACATAGGTTATACAGATGGAGTAGAGGGAAATTAAAATGACTCACGTTTCTAGCCTGAATGACAGGGATGAAGGTGGTTTTATTAAGCGGAGAGAGAGAGTACAGAAAGTTCAGTGTTTAAGCAGTTAGGTGGAGAGGATTGTTCAAAGTCAGGAAAGTACAATTTCAAGGCACTTGGTAGATATTCACATAGCAACGTCCAACAGGAAGTTGAAACTGCATTAGCGGTAAAACTGCTGGTTTCTTTACCATGTTCATTCAGTGCTTAAATACGAGTAATCCGAAATTATGGGAGTGGGGAGTGAGGACCAAGAGTGGCCAGGAAAGCTTCAAATACATTGAAAGCTCTTGAATGCTTTTGGAATGATATGTACTGCTGCAAGGATAAAGGAGTGGTATGTTCTAACATGTTTCAGTTTAGTCTTTAAATAGTTGTTTCACATTTAATGTTTCAAACTTAATTCTGGTAAAGGTCAAGGCGGTAAAAAGGACTCAGAAATCCTGATGTCTCCTAAGCATTGTTGGTGTGAAAAGGGCGTGGCAGAGGCGAGCCACTCGGCCTGCCTGCGCTCAGGTCATACCAAGTAAGAAGTCATAGGGCTGTGGAGGCCCCTACCGCCCTGGAGCCTGCCCAGTTCAGGGGGCAGAAAAGAGGGCCGAAGGTCTGAACTCTTTCCCTCTTTTTACTCCCCGCCTTCTTACCTTCACCGCATACAACTTGCCGCCTTTCTGCCCGAGATACACCTTCCCGAAGGCGCCACGGCTAATAGGTTTCACTATGGTAAATTCCTCAATGGAAGGAGGTCTTGGCACCGGGATCCTTTTCACGCATTCCACTGTCACTGCGTCTCCTCCACTCTCCTCGCTCCCCGCAGTGCGCTCCATAGCAGGCCAGCCCAGAAGGAAGCCTGTAGCATCAGCTAAGGCCCCTTCCCAAGCCACAACTCCCGCCAACTAGGTTCAAAGTAAGACCCCGCCCACGCAATGCGCAGGCAGTGACGTCACCGCGTTGCCGTGCTCGCGCCGAGCCCAGTGCAGCCCCGCCCCTGTCACCTCTTGCTCGTAAGCGCGGAAGTACCCAATGGAGCTGAGGGCTGGGACGCTGGGAAATTCTCCAGCCAAGCACACACTCTTCGAGGGCGGTGACCGCGGCCCAATTACCTCATTTAGTAATAACTGGGGAGGCACTGACTTTTGCTTACAAGAAATCTCGGGATTGACTAGGTTTCTCCTGACCTCCAAACGAGGTTGATGGGACCCGCCCTCACCCCACTTTTGCTTGGTTTTGTTTGTTTTTTACCCCTCGCGACCTCGCACCCCTGGGCGAAATGTAAGCCAGTTTGGTTTAGCTCCCCGAAATCATACAATGTGGAGAAACTGGATGAGCAGGAAGCAGGTGGCTGGCCCTGTCATCTGACAATGTTAACAGGACGTAACTTGCCTGACTGAAGCAGATGAGGACCAATAGGAACAATTTTCGATTTATTGTGGGGAAGATAAAAAGCACTAAACTGTAGCGAGTTTATCATAACTCAAGGCCCAGTCGGAAAAGGAGACTATGTTGGAAGATTTCGTAAGGAAGGTGCAAAAAGATTTAACAGGGTCAATGCCATCCCCTCTTAAGGGGGAGATACATACATATATATACATGTTTATATATGTATATGTATGTGTGTGTGTATATATCGGCGCCATAGAGCTTGGGGATCCAGCACCAGTATTATTCCCGTGAACATCAAGCCTGGGGGCCAGGGTTGCTCAGCTACCGTAGTAGATACAAACGTCAGAACCAGAAAGGTGGAGCTCCAGAGCTGGCGTTCACCCGCGGGTGATGCAGCCCACCTGTCCCGGAAGTAGTGTTGCGTTGGAGGCTTGCCTTCCGGGGTAGATTGTATGTCGTTGCAGCAGCTGTAACAAGGAGAGGCCATTTTCTGTTTCTAGGAAGAGTGAGGGCTAGGGGAGAGGGAAAAAGAAAGGAAAGAAAGGGCTCAGCGCCTCCCCGCCGAGCCGTGGACAGAGGGGCACTTTCGGCTGGCGGGTGAGGTCGCTGAGGGCCCAGAGGAGATGTTTTCCCTCTCGAGTACGGTGCAGCCCCAGGTGAGTCTGGCATCCGGTCCGTTTTTTTCTCTCCTGCCCGCGGCTCTTTGCCGTTTGCGTTTCGTGGAAGCGATTTCGCGTTTGGGATCGTAGGAGGGGGGCGATCAGCGCAAAGCAAGTCCTAGTCTTGAGAAGGGATCAGCGATCACGCTGAGAGTAAAAGGCTGACGTTGAAGCAGAGGCATGAGATGATGAGGACTTTGGTTTATCGAGTTGATAGCGTGGAATTGTTACTAGAGAATCCATTAGGCATTGTTCAGTGCCGGACATTCTGAGGTGGGGGGAGCAGAGTGAGGCTGGGGGAAACGCCTTTGCCTTAGATATGATGAAAGCAGATAATGTTTCTTTCCATCTGATCACCTTTCCAGTGATTTTACGGTTCACAACCCTGATACCCAACTCTTTCTTTCCTTTTTAAATGGAATTTAACCCAAACATGTTATAATTATTTGAATACTACGAGTGCTTTCTTTCTTTTTTGGCCAGAAATGACTAATAAACACATATTTTAAAGCTATTGACTGCTTGCAGTTACTATTTTTATTCATATTCTCCCATTTTTTCATCAAGCAAAAGGGCAGAAAAGAGTCATTCCTAGGGTTTTTAATTGTCTTCTTTTGGGAGTAACCACTTGTGACGGTGTCTTGTCCTTGTTTCATTTAAAAATCTTTTTTGATGGCAATATTCTGATAGTTTCTTGCTGGGGCGGGGGTGGGGTGACTCAGTTTGCTAATAGTTTTTGAACACATTCAGATTTAAAAATAATTTTTTAACACTCTTTAGTTTCAGCATATAATTACGTTCCTTTTGTAACCCCCACCCTTGGTTTTTTGTTTTTTGTTTTTTGTTTTTGTTTTGCTAGTACTGGCTGGATAATCGAAAATGAAGTGATTAGTTATTTATTGGACATCAGTAATGGGCCAGGTGGACAAAGCAAATGTGGAATCTATAGTGATATGAAGAAAAGTTGAATAGGAGTTAGTCAAGTGAAGAGTTAATAGAAGTGAACCAGTATCCCAGGTATATGCAAGGGTATCTGGAGGTCCTGAGATTGGGAAGAGTTTAGCTGATTGGAGGAACAAAAATAATGTCAGTGTGGCTACAATGTAGTGATTAAAGGGCATAATAACAGAATTAAGGTTAGGGTGAAGCCTTGAGGCAGATCATACAGGAAATTATAAGGGACTTTGGATTTCATTTGAAGTGTAAGCATAGGATAACCTGATCAGAAGTGTTTTCAGTTAAGGATGCTATTGCAGTAACCCAGGAGAGGGATGATGCACCACTAATGTGGTGGCAGTGGTTATGGAAAGAAGAGGATGAGTTTGTTTGTTTTGAACAAAGAGCAGAATTTAATGAGGGATGATGGAAAGAAGTGTTTCTGTTCTGGTCAGCTGGATGGGTGAAAATGTTATTTGCCGAGCTGTGTGATCAAACTCAAGGGGTTCACCACTTGAGATACATCAGATTGGACACAACCCGAGAAAATGTTGAAAACAAAGAACTTTATTACTTGTTACAAGTAAGGAAACAGATGACTCTCAAAGCCCTGTCTCTCTGTGGGGTTAGTACAGGAAGGTTTTATTCAGTGTATTAGGGGGCGGGGCAGGGAGCTCGCATAAGCACTTCAGTTACTCATTCCTAGCATGTCAACATGCTAGTGCATACGTTGTATTTTCAAAAAAAAAAAAAAATGGTGAGGGGCGCCTGGAGGCTGGTCTGGCTTGAGCCTGTCAGCCAGTCACGATCTCATCGGTTTTAAGCGAGTCAACTCTGTCGGGCTCTGGTTGCAGTCAGAGCCTGAGCCTGCTCACTGATTCTGTGTCTCCTGCTCTCTGCTCCTCCCCCACTCGTGCTCTGTCTCTCTCTCAAAAATAAATAAACATAAAAAATTTTTTTTTTTTTTTTTAAAAGCCAGCTCATACTGGCTCACATAGGGTGGCTGTCAGGTGAGACACACCCAGCAAGGGGCTCTCACGTGAAACAGCTAGTTTCCTTGGCTGAAGTGTGGGTTCTACAAAACAAAACCCATTCCTTGCTTGCTTTTGTCCCTCCCCTTCCTCTCTTCAGCTGATAGCTTTCAGCCCTGGAGGGGTCCTACCAGTTGTTTGAAAAACAAGTCTGACTTGGCCTGTTGAATACAGTATTAAACCTTTTAAAGCTGAAGTTCAAGAAGTTTATATCAAGAAGACCGAATTTTAGGAGAGTTATCATCAGCTGGATGGAGAGTTAGTGGTACGTGATGTTGGTAGAGATGGTGAAGGCATTTTGTGTACTGCAGGCAGGCTTAATTGGGCTCATATATGTGTTTTATGCTCTTATGTGTTTTATGCTCTGAAGAAGGATAGTACACATATTTGTAATTCCTGGTTGCTTAATCATTGAATACACTTGAATATAAACTGTGAAGCCAGGAAAGATATGGAAGGTGAACTTTTTCATTGAGATCAAACCATTTTTTAGCAATTTAAATCCTTTTTTGTTTTTTTTTATTTTTTTAATTTTTTTTTCAACGTTTTTAATTTATTTTTGGGACAGAGAGAGACAGAGCATGAACGGGGGAGGGGCAGAGAGAGAGGGAGACACAGAATCGGAAACAGGCTCCAGGCTCCGAGCCATCAGCCCAGAGCCTGACTCGGGGCTCGAACTCACAGACCGCGAGATCGTGACCTGGCTGAAGTCGGACGCTTAGCCGACTGCACCACCCAGGCGCCCCTTAAATCCTTTTTTGAATAAGAGATATAACTAATTAGAAAGAAGCCTTTCAGGGGTGTCTGGGTGGCTCATTCCGTTGAGCATCTGACTTTTAATTTCATCTCAGGTCATGATAGGGTTTTGGGATCGAGCCCTGTGTCTGGCTCTGCACTGAGCGTGGGGCCTGCTTGGGATTCATTCTCTCTCTCTCTCTCTCTCTCTCTCCCCGTCCCCCTCCCCCCCTTGCCTTCCTCCCTCCCCCTTCCTCCTCCTCTGCTCCTGTCCCCTGCTTACACTCTCTTTCTCTAAAATAAAAATATAAAAAATTGATTCCTGTAGGTTTTTTTAAATGTTTATTTTTGAGAGAGGCACAGAGCATGAGTGGGGGAGGGGCAGAGAGAGAGAGAGAGGGAGACACAGACTCTGAAGCAGGCTCCAGGCTCTGAGCTCTCAGATGTGGGGCTCAAACCCGAACCGGTGAACCATGAGATCGTGACCTGAGCTGAAGTTGTATGCTTAACCGACTGAGCCACCTAGGCGCCCCATGATTCCTGTAGCTTTAAAAGAGCTTATTGTTTCTACCCTGAAAAGGATACATGCTCATTGCCAAAAATGCCAAAAAGAAAAACACAAATAAGAAAATGAAAAACCTTCATAATCTCATTGTGCAAAGACATATTTTAGAATACATTCTTTCGTACTTTTTGCCTCTACACAAATATGTGTGTATGCATGCTTTTTAAAAAGTATGTTGTAGTTTTTTAATTTTTTAACTTTTTTTACTTTAGAGAGAGTGTGTGAGCGAGAAACAGGGGCTGAGAGAGAGAGAGAGAGAGAGAGAGAGAGAGAGAGAGAGAGAGAATCTTAAGCAGGTTCCACGCTCAGCACAGAGCCTGACACAGGGCTGAGTGGCATGACCCTGGGATCATGACCTGAGCCAGGATCAAGAGTTGGATGCTCAACCGACTGAGCCACCAAGGCATCCCAAGATGTAGTTTTACATTTAACAGTTTTTTTCATTTAACATATTATTAATTCATTTCTGTATCAGTAACTATGGGATAAAGAGTCTAACAAGAATCTAGAGTCAAATTATCTTGGTTAGAGTATTTGCTCATATACTTGCTGAGTGACTTGAACATGCCACTGAACCTATCTAAATTCTGGATGTCTTTATCAGTTAAATAGAAGTATAATAATAGTGTTTATATCTGTTAAAGGATTAAATGAGATTGAAGATACTGAGGGTTTGGTTCAATACTATCACAGTAAAGGGAGTACCACAATAACACAAGTCAAATGAATTTTTGGGTTTCCCAGTGCATGTAAAAGTTATTTATTTTTTTAATTTAAATTTTTTAAAATTTACATCCAAATTAGTTAGCATATAGTGCAACAGTGATTTCAGGAATAGATTCTTTAGTGCCCCTTACCCATTTAGCCCATCCCCCCTCCCACACTCCCTCCAATAACCCTCTGTTTGTTCTCTATATTTATGAGTTTCTTATGTTTTGTCCCCCTCCCTGTTTTTATATCATTTTTGTTTCCCTTCCCTTATGTTCATGTGTTTTGTCTCTTGAAATCCTCATGTGAGTGAAGTCATATGATATTTGTCTTTCTCAGACTAATTTCACTTAGCATAATACCTTCCAGTTCCATCCATGTAGTTGCAAATGGCAAGATTTCATAAAAGTTATGTTTACACTATAACCTATTAGTTGTGCAATAATAGTATTATGTCTAAAAGCAGTGTAATACCTTAATTAAAAATACTTTATTGTTAAATAATGCTAACCATCATCTGTGCTTTCGATGAGTCATAATCTTTTTGCTGGCTGGAGGGTCTTGCTTCACTGTTGATTGCTGCTGACTAATGACAGTAGTGGCTGCTGAAGGTGGAGATGGCTGTGGCAAATCTTAAAATGAGACACAAGTAATATTTGCTATATCGATGGACTTTTTCATGAATGATTTTTCTGTAACATGATACTATTTGATAGCATTTGACCCACTTAGAACGTCTTTCAATATTGGACTGAATCCTCTCAAACCCTGCTGCTGCTTTATCAGCTGAGTGTATCTTCATAGCATCTTCACCAGGTGTAGATTTCCATCTCAAGAAACCACTTTCTTTGGTCATGCATAAGAAGCAGCTCATTTATGTCAGTTTGATCGTGAGATTGCAGCCCTTCACTGCCATCTTCAGGGTCCACTTCTAGTTCTCTTGTTATTTCCACCACATGTACACTTCCTCCGGTGAAGTCTTAAACCCTTCAAAGTCAGCCATGAAGCTTGGAATCAGTTTCTTCCAAACTCCGGTTAATGTTGATATTTTGACCTCTTCCTATGAAAATGTTCTGAGTGGCATCTAAAATGGTGAAGGTTTTCAGTTTACTTTGCCCAGGTCTGTAAGAGGAGTCGTGATCTATAAGCTATATAGTCTTCACAAAATGCATTTCTTAAATAATAAGACTTGAAAGTCCCAAATTGTTCCTGACCCATGGGCCACAGAATGGATGTTGTATTAGCAGACATGAAAGCAGCATTAATCTAAATGGTATACTTCCAGCAGAGCTCTTGGGTCACCAAGTACATTACCTGAGCAGTAATATTTTTAAAGGAATCATGTTTTATGAACAGTAGGTCTCTTAACAGGGGACTTAGAGTATTCAGTAAACCCTACTGTAAATAGATGTACTGTCAAACAGGCTTCCTTCCATTCATAGATCCCAGGCAGCATGAGTTTAGCACTATTCTTAAGGACCTAGGATTTTCAGAATGGTAAGTAAGCACAGGCTTCAACTTAAAGTCCGCTACATTAGTTCCTAACAAGAGAGTCAGCCTGTCCTTCAAAGCTTTGAACCCAGGTGTTGACTTCCCCCCAGCTGTGAAAGTCCTAAATGGCATCTTAGAATAGAAGGCTGTTTCCTGTACGTTTAAAATCTATTTAGTGTAGCCACCTTCATTAGGTATCTGTCTTATTTAGATTTTCTGGAGCTTTTATTCAGTGTTTGCTGCTTCACTCTGCACTTTCGTGTTAACAAAAATGGCTTCTTAAACCTCATGAACCAACCTCTGCTAGGTTCAGACTTTTCTTCTGCAGCTTCCTCACCTGTTTCAGCCTTCATACAAATAAGTACATTTAGGGCCTTACTCTGGATTAGGCTTTGGCTGAAGGGGGAGTGTTGTGGTTGGTTTGATTTTGTATCTAGACCACTGAAACTTTCAGCAATGGGCTGTTTGGGTTTTTTATCATTTGTGTGTTCACTTGAATAGCACTCAACTTTATTTTGCTTGCACAACTTGGCAAACTGATGCAAAAGGCTTATCTTTTAGGCTATCTTGGCTTTCAACATGCTTTCCTTACCAAGCTTAATCATGTCTAGATTTTGATTGAAAGTGAAAGATATGTGACTTTTCCTTTCACTTGAACACTAAGATGCCATTATAGGGTTACTAATTGTCCTAATTTCAATATTGTTGTGTCTCAGGGAATGGGGAAGCCCAAGGAGAGAGAAATGGGAAGGTCCCATTGGTGGAGTAATCAGAACACACACAACAGTTATTGATTAAGCTCAGTGTCTTATATGGGTAGGATTTGTGATATCCCAAAACCATTACGGCATTAACATCAAAGATTACTAATCATGGATCACCATAACAAATATAATGAAAAAGTTTGAAGTATTGTGAGAATTACCAAAATGTGACACAGACATGAAGCGAGCAAATGCTGTTGGAAAAATGGCACCAAAAGACTTCCTTGATGCAGTGCTGTCACAAACCTTAATTTATAAAAAATACAGTGTTTGCGAAGTATGTTAAGTTAAAGCACAATAAAATGAGATATGCCTATATGGCATATGACACCAGCTGGGTGTCCAACAATTCAATTCTGAAACTACTTACCCAGTGTTAGTGCAGACCCCCAAAGTTAAAGGCTCAGCCCCACAAGACTGGTCCCATTTCAGATACCAGTCACAAGTCCCAGGCCATTCATACTTCTGATCTCCCAGCTATAAATCAGGGTTTCCCACAACCCCCTCCTCAGGTTTGATAATCTGCTAAAATAGCTCACAGAACTAAGAAACATACTTCACATTTACTGGTCCATTATGAAAGAGAAATGAACAGCCAGTTGATTAAGTACACAAGGGTACAGCCAGAAGGGTCCCAAGCAAAAGATGTGGAGTGGATTACTCTTCTTCAGGGTGAATCTCTGCACTCCATCTCACTGTTCAAGAGCTTTTATAGAGATCAATCCCCAGCCCTCCCCTCCCAGAAGCTAGGGGGGTGGGGCTAAGAGTTCCCACCTTCTACTAATTACTAGGTCTTTCAAGTGGCCAGCCCAGCCCTGAGGCTATTTAAAGACCCTAGCCTAGGGGCGCCTGGGTGGCGCAGTCGTTAAGCGTCCGACTTCAGCCAGGTCACGATCTCGCGGTCCGTGAGTTCGAGCCCCGCGTCAGGCTCTGGGCTGATGGCTCAGAGCCTGGAGCCTGTTTCCGATTCTGTGTCTCCCTCTCTCTCTGCCCCTCCCCCGTTCATGCTCTGTCTCTCTCTGTCCCAAAAATAAATAAACGTTGAAAAAAAAAATTTAATAAAGACCCTAGCCTAAATCACCTCATTAGCATAAATCCAGGAGTGATCCAAAGGGTTACCTTACGAATAGTAAGACACTATACCACACAGGAAATTCCAAGGGTTTTAGGAGCTCCTGGCCAAGAAATGAGAACAAAGACCACTGCGAACTAAAATGTAAGGTCAAAGTGGCAAGCGATTTTTTTCCTCTATTTTATTCTTTGACTTTTCTCTATTTTACTTTATTTATATAATTATTTAATGTAAAATTGTAAACAGAAGGAAGTAGGGGTCCCTGGAAAAAGACAGACAAAGCTTTCTTTACGTAAGGCTTCCTGGCCATCTTGTGAAAGAATTTAAGAACAGCCACTATCAGGCCAGGAGATAGCCTAATCATATCAGGGACGATAAGTCAGTGGCAAAACTCCCAGTGTTAGTTCAAAAGTGAGGACTGACCTGACTTATTTTTGAAGGATCTCAACTCCTTTGAGCACTCAGATACTGGACCAACTGGAGCGAGAGAATTGATGATGCTGACCCCTTGCTGGCCCTTGTAACTCTGACCTGGACTCAGTCACCTCAAGATGACTACTGCCCCAGTTCCATGATGTATTCCCTACTGCACAAGCCTTGTCATGAATATGTATGAAACCCCAGCATAAAACTGCCCCGATTTTGTTATTCAGGGAGACACTGCTTTGGGAAAGATCCCTGGTGTGCTCCTTTACTTGTTCCAAGTAAAACCTTTCCTTTTCCTATTCTTTGGCATGGCTGTGTATTTTGGCTTGACATTACCAAGAGGCAAACCCAGTTCTGGGTAACAAAATGTTTACACAATACTTAGTATACATACTTTATATTTTTTCTCTATTTTATTCATATTGTATCCCAGTGCAACAATAATGCACACAGATGCCAAATAAAGATTTCTTGAGTGAATGAATAAATTAAATGGGTTCTTACCATATTGTCAGAATTGGTTGGAGAGAAACAGAGGAATAACATACAGATAAGTAAGTAGATTGTGTGTAAAGTGTGTTAGATACTAAAAGTGTCAAGAAGAGAAAATGGAGCAGTGAAAGAGAATAAGGAATATTTTTTAGGGCAGGGTTCTTGAAATTTTAAGTAGGTTGGCTGTGGAAAAGACTCAAGAAAAGATGACTTTTGGGTTAAGAACCGAAGGAAGTCAGAGAGCAAGGTAGACGGAATAAAAGCAATGCAAAGTCCTTGAAGTGAGGGCTTTGCTAGGTGTGTTCCAGAAACAGCAAGGCGGCCAGTATGTCTCGAGTAGAGAAGACGAAGGAGAACACGGTGGTAGATAAATTTGGAGAGGTAATAAAGAACCACAGAGGCTTTCTACATCCTAGTGCTTAGGACTTCTACTTGTATTGTAAGTGAGAAGAGAAGCCATTGGAGGGTTTGAGCAGAGGAGTGATGAGATCTAACTTTGTTTTTAATAGAGCAGATTCAGGGAGAGTAGGAGGGCTATTGCAAAATCCACAAATAGATGATGGTGACTTAGAACAGGATGAGAACGGGATGGTGCAGTGAGGAAGTTAAGAATAAAATTCTGCTATAGGTTTACTTTTTTCTAAGTCTGAAACATTTCATTTTATGGTGGTGTCATTTATTTAGCCCATTCCCTTAATGCTGGACAATTCGACCTTTCCACTGCTTTTTATTTTTTTCAACGTTTATTTATTTTTGGGACAGAGAGAGACAGAGCATGAACGGGGGAGGGGCAGAGAGAGAGGGAGACACAGAATCGGAAACAGGCTCCAGGCTCTGAGCCATCAGCCCAGAGCCTGACGCGGGGCTCGAACTCACAGACCGCGAGATCGTGACCTGGCTGAAGTCGGACGCTTAACCGACTGCGCCACCCAGGCGCCCCTCCACTGCTTTTTAAACATTTTGATGAAAATTGTCATCTGTGCACAAACAAGCACTTTTCACATTATTTCCTTAGAATAAATTATTAGAAATTAGATTGATGGGAAATTATATGTGTATGTTTTTTTAATATTTTTGATTCCTATAGCCAGAATGCTGTCTTGGAAGAATTACCAGTATTCTTTCCACCAGCAATAATCTGAGTATTTACATCTTTTAATATATTGTTCTGATATACAGTGTATGTTTAACTTTTTACAAATCCCAGATCCTGACAATAAGGAGAATTTTTCTTTAATTTTAAAAAGCACTACTCAATTTCAACTTTTATCTTCTCTTAGGTTACAGTTCCTCTGAGTCATCTCATCAATGCCTTCCATTCACCAAAAAACACACCTATTTCTGTCAGTGCATCAGCTTCACAAAACCAGCATCGAGATGTAGTTCCTGAGCATGAGTCTCCTGGCAATGAGGTAATAGTTTTTACCCTGATTGTATGAGAAACAGCTTTTTTGATTTAGTATGTTGTAAACATGCCTGAAATGTCTACGTTTAGGCATTTGTAACAAGGTGATTTCTGTCTTCAGCTTAATCTCCTTTATGAATAAAGATGTCTAATTCTGGTTTTATTGTACATATGGAAAAGTTATGTTGTCCTATTCTTTACAATTTAATTTATTAAAAATTTCATGTGGGGGCGCCTGGGTGGCGCAGTCGGTTAAGCATCCGACTTCAGCCAGGTCACGATCTCGCGGTCTGTGAGTTCGAGCCCCGCGTCAGGCTCTGGGCTGATGGCTCAGAGCCTGGAGCCTGTTTCCGATTCTGTGTCTCCCTCTCTCTCTGCCCCTCCCCCGTTCATGCTCTCTCTCTGTCCCAAAAATAAATAAACGTTGAAAAAAAAAATTAAAAAAAAAAATTTCATGTGGCAGGGGTACCTACCTTGCTTAGTTGGAAGAACATGTGATTCTTAATCTTAGGGTTGTAAGTTCGAGTCCCGCGTTGGACATGGAGCCTACTTTTAAAAAAAACAAAATCATGGGGCACCTGGGTGGCTCCGTCAGTTAAGGGTCCAACTTCATCTCAGGTCATGATCTCAGGGTTCGTGGGTTTGGGCCCCACATTGGACTCTGTGCTGACAGCTGAGCCTGGAGCCTGCTTTGAAATCTCTGTCTCTCTCTGTCTCTCTCTCTCTCTCTCTCTCTTTCTCTCTCTTTCTCTGTCTTTCAAAAATAAAATAAAACATTAAAAAAAAAATTCATGTGGAAGTGTATTTAGTATTCACTTCCTAGATTGCTAATTGTGTGATACCATTTAGATATTTTGTGTTGCTCCAGCAGTAGTAGTGAACCCACAATTAACTGACCGTAATTGCCTCCCAAGTCTCAACGAAGGTAGAATAGTAAGAAGTTACCATCTGCTGCCTTACAGGAGATTTCAGTGTAATTGAACGGTTAGAATACAGGGACCTGAAAGTGAAATGGATAAGCTATGAAACTACTTTTTGGTGTTCAGAGAATTATAAAATCAGTGTTTCCTAGGATACAGGGAATTTCCAGCCTAGAAACCTTTGTGTTCACAAGGTTTATTAATAAGGTAGGTGCATGTAGTTCTGCACACATTTTTCACAGAAAACATTATACTCTGTAGTTAAATTTCCTAAAAACCTTTTTAATCCGTAAATAACTTATGTTCTTAGTCCTGATATCAGAGGCTTTGGCAAAGGGCAGATAAAATGTTCACTCTTGGAAGGGGTGGGGGGGGGGGGTTGGGAATCAGTCTTAAGATAAAATTTTAATTAGATGGAAAATTTGTATTCAACATCTTTATGCTTTCCTTTTATAATATTTACCTAATTCCTATTGCTTCTTCTAGGGAGTCCATTGTCTTTGCTACTGTGGTGATACCCTTCTCCTAAATTACAGTCCCAGAGAGCCTGCCTGATGAAAATACCACATGTATCAAAATTGCTGCATATAGCAATATTATGTTCATTTTAGAAATTTTGGAAAATACTGTGTAGGTAGAAGAAATAAAATTCACCTATGATCCTGTTCCCCAGAGATAATGCTGTTAACATTTTGTATTTATATCACATGTCTCTTTTGTACTTTTTTATTTTATAATTGGATCATACTGCATATGCTGATTTAGATACTGCTTTGTTAATTTAATAGTCATTATGAACTTGTTATGCCATACATTTTTTGTATTTTTAAATGACTTCAGAACGTTCATTGTATGATATCCCATTTTTGGATATTGTTCCCAATTTTTTGTTGCTATAAACATTACAACTTTTACTGTTTGTGTTGCTAAATCTTTGACTATTTCATTAAGTGAAATTGCTAGGTCAGGAGCTTAAAAAGTAGCTAAATTCTGGAAGCCAGTGTTGAGGTTATGAGTAATGGTCTCAGATATAGAATTGGCTTCTTAATCTCTGATACGCCCTCATTATTCCTATTGTTCATCTTTAGTGAACTTTATTACTGTACAGAAGCCATTTTCTTTCTCCTTAAGCATCCTACCTCATCTCTAATTTCATCTCTACCTTTGCTGTGCAATTGGCTTTGCTTTCATCAAGTCTTGCTCATCCAAATATACACTCTACAATGCAGGTATTAGAACCTTCCTTTCAACTTCCTTCAAGCTACTGACTTATTTTCCCTTTGCTTTCAGACTTCTTGAAATAACAGTCTGAACATGTAACTACTTGCTAAACTTCTATTCACACTGTAACTCATCATAGTTTGGCTACTACTTGTACCATTTTACAGACTTTGCTAAAGTCAGTTGATTTCCTTTGTGCTAAATGTAGGCCTCTAAAAAAAATCTATCTTACTCAACTTTTCCTGAGCATTTAATCTTACTGAACATTTACTGCTTTCAAAATACTCCTGGGGCGCCTGGGTAGTTCAGTCATTTAAGTCTCCCGACTGTTGATTTCCACTCAGGTCATGATCTCAGGATTCATGAAATTGAGTCACGCAGAGGCTGCTTGGAATTCTCCTTCCCTCAAAGATTCGAAATACTCCCTTGAATTGAGTGATGTTGCATTGATGATGGTGTTTTCTCTTTCTGTTTTGCTGGCTTGTCTTTTTTTGCCAGCCCCGTAAATATTTGGCGTGCATTTATCCTTGATCTAATTTTTGTTATGCACGTTCTTCTAAGTTATGTTACCCATTTTCATATCTTCACCTAACATCTAGATCTATATAATTATATATATGCTGATGACTTCCAAACATGTCTCCAACCCCAAATTCTCTTTAAATCTTTGAAGTAATTTATTTAGTGCTTTGTTAAAATAACCCCCCATCCCCCCCGGAGAATTTCAGGGATCTCAAAATTAAGATGTCCAGAACTCAGCTACTCTCAAATTCTAGTATATTTGAGATTACAGTGGATTTAGCACCTTTTTGTCAGGGATTCCAATCAGGAAAGAGAAACCATATAGTCAATTGAGCAGTAAAAGTTTAATGTAAAAAATTAGTGTAATTTTGTAGTTTAATATTTTTTTTTAACGTTTTTATTTATTTTTGGGACAGAGAGAGACAGAGCATGAACAGGGGAGGGGCAGAGAGAGAGGGAGACACAGAATCGGAAACAGGCTCCAGGCTCTGAGCCATCAGCCCAGAGCCTGACGCGGGGCTCGAACTCACGGACCACGAGATCGTGACCTGGCTGAAGTCGGACGCTTAACCGACTGCGCCACCCAGGCGCCCCTGTAGTTTAATATTTTTAAAACCCTGTTTTTATATGGGATGGGAGTAACTAGGGGTTGGCTAATAATAAGTAAACTAAAATATACAGGACAAGCAGATTTAAGGTGTGGCTAATACTCCTAGGACTGAGATAGAGCATCATGGGAAGAGTTCTCCACCCACAGACTGCTGTCCTGACCTGGTTGGAAGAGGGCATGGCCTTGGCTCACTGAATGGCAGAGAAGTCACTGGTGTCATGCTAGCTGCACTTGATGGAAGTTGCCATCTAGGCAGGGAAAGCTGTTCATGGGGATGTCTCTTACTAAAAAAGCTGCAAGGTACTGTACTGCTGGCCACTGTTTACTGTAGGAGCCAAGTTTTGGAGAAGCTATACAAGTGGCTGCCAGATGCTAGAGAAACAATGGGTGTTACAGACAGGAGCCTGCTGAATGAGCACACCGGAACCAGGGACAAAAACACTCCTACAGTGTCTCCAGTGGTCTCTACTGACAAAGCTTCACATTGTCCCAGATGGCAAAGAAAAAATATTTAAAGAGCCCAGATCATTGTTCATGGAGCCGAAAAAGGATGAAGAGGTGTTAGGAGACAGTAAAATGATAACTAGCACATCCATCCAGAACCCTTCTCCCTCTCAATCATTATACTTCATTGGTTTCTCCAAGTATCTATTATTTATGATTGTTATTTCCATCTTTAGTTAGAGCTTGGTTCAGGCACATACCATTTTTCTCTTGTTCCATCAGCCTTTCTTCAATTCTTTTCTCCATCAGCCTTTTCTTACCCAGTTTATTATCTTTATCTTCTATTTTCTTGGTATAAAACAAAACTAATCATATTAGCTATAGAATTAAATTCAGACAAGGCTCTTTACAACTTGACCATAACCTGCCTGTCTTCCTTCCTTCCTTCCTCTCTTTCTTTCTCTTTCTCTTTTTCTTTTTTCTTAAAAAGATTTTAAGTACAGCCCTGAGATCAACAGTTACATGCTCCACCAACTGAGCCAGCCAGGTGCCCCATAGCCCATCTTTCTAGTTCATTCTTCCATCACTGATCTTTGGACTACACCTCAAACATCCAGGCCCTTTTATGGTAGTTTGTTTGCCTTTACCCCAAGACTCACCTTCATTTTGCAAATTAGGTGTTAACCTCAGTGAAGCTTGTCTGACTTAGGAAATTGGTTACTCTGTGTTTTCTTACTACTTTTTGTTTTAAAAGTCTCTGTAAAGCAGTTACTATGTTGTATGATAATTGCTATGTTTATATGCATCTTATTTCTCTTTACATTCCAGGGACCTGACAGCCAATAAGTAAGGGAAATAATTTTAAGTTAAGAATCTCCACTTCCCTTTTGAAGTCTTTGTATTGTAAATAGACTTTTTGGCTTCCCGTTTTTTAAAAGGTGACTTCTGAAAAGTAGCTTTTGAGTATTGTAGTCTTTTTGTTTTCATTGTAATAATATCCTTTATGTTGTATAGCTTTTAGTAGTTTAAAGAGCACTTTTTTTTTAAGTTAATTTTTTTTTTTAATTTTTTTTTTCAACGTTTATTTATTTTTGGGACAGAGAGAGACAGAGCATGAATGGGGGAGGGGCAGAGAGAAAGGGAGACACAGAATCAGAAACAGGCTCCAGGCTCCGAGCCATCAGCCCAGAGCCTGACGCGGGGCTCGAACCCACGGACCGCGAGATCGTGACCTGGCTGAAGTCGGACGCTTAACCGACTGCGCCACCCAGGCACCCCTAAGTTAATTTTTGAGAGAGCAGGCGTGGGCATGTGAGCAGGGAAGGGGCAGAGAGAGAGAATTGCAAGCAGGCTCCATGCTGTCAGTGCAAAGCCTGATGCAGGGCTCGATCTCATGAACTATGAGATCATGACCTGAGCTGAAATCAAGAGTTGGATGCTTAACAGATGGAGAACAGACACATAAGAAAATGCTCAACATCACTCATCATCAGGGAAATACAAATCAAAACCACAATGAGATACCACCTTACACCTGTCAGAATGGCTAACATTAACAACTCAGGCAACAACAGATGTTGGCAAGGGTGTGGAGAAAAAGGATCTCTTTTGCCCTGCTGGTGGGAATGCAAACTGTTGCAGCCACTCTGGGAAACAGTATGGAGGTTCCTCAAAAAATTAAAAATAGAACTACTCTACGACCCAGAAATTGCACTGCTAGGTATTTAACCAAGAGATACAGGTGTGCTGTTTCAAAGGGGCACACACACACCCTAATGTTTATAGCTGTGCTGTTGACAATAGCCAAACTATGGAAAGAGCTCAAATGTTCATTAACGGATGAATGGATAAAGAAGATGAAGAAGATGTGGTGTGTGTGTGTGTGTGTGTGTGTGTACACACACACACACACACACACACACACACACACACACACACACTGGAGTATTGGCAATCAAAAAGAATGAAATCTTGCCATTTGCAACTATGTAGATAGAACTGGAGGGTTATTATGCTAAGCAAAATTAGGGACAAATATATGACTTCACCCATATGAGGAATTTAAGATACTAAAGAGATGAACATAAGGGAAGGGAAGCAAAAAGAATATAAAAACAGGGAGGGGGACGAAACCTAAGAGACTCTTAAATATAGAGAGCAAACAGGGTTGCTGACTGGCTTGTGGGAGGAGGGATGAGCTAAATGGGTAAGGGGCACTAAGGAATCTACTCCTGAAATCGTTGTTGCCCAGTATGCTAACTAACTTGGATGTAAATTAAACAATAAAAAAAAAAAAAAAGTTGGATGCTGAACTGGCTGAGCCACCCAGGGGCCCCAGTAGTTTAAAGAGCACGTTTAAATATTTTCCTTCATCATGCCTTTGACTATCTTCCTATGTATGTTAGGATATGTCAGATGACCAAGGCATGATCTTTTCTGTTCATCCATACCATCTTGTGAAGTAGGCATATTTCATCGTCATTTTACTAATGAGGAAATGGATTTTAAGAATATGAATGACTTGTCAGGGCGCCTGGGTGGTTCAGTTGGTTAAGCATCCAACCTTGGCTCAGGTCATGATCTCTCAGTTCGTGAGTTCAGGCCCCGACTTGGGCTCTGTGACAGCTCAGAGCCTGAAGCCTGCTTCAGATTCTGTCTTCCTCTCTCTTTGCCGCTCTCCTGCTCGTGCGCTGTATGTCTCTCTCAAAAATAAACATGAAAAAAATTAAAAAGGAATATGAATGACTTGTCACACAGCTAGTAAGTGACAAACGCCTGGACATCAATCCAGAGCTATATAATCCATCGATCTAACTTTATTTTTTGTGCATGCAACTTTATGTATCTAACTTCACCTCAGACATCAGAAGCTGATACTTGGGCTATTTATTTTTGCTTTCCTTGCTTGAACTTTCAGGTGTCTGAGGCTTGTAATTGTTACTTGTCTTTAATGTCTGCTTGACAGTTTCCATGGACAAGAAAATAACTCCTATCCAATCTGTAGTTAGTTTAGAACTGTTGTAATGTGACTTTATTTTCTTGCCTGGTTTTCATACATTTTTCACTTTGTTCATTGTCCCTCCTTATTAGAAGTTAGATATGGGTAACTATAGAACTTCTCAGTTCGAAGAAGGATCTCGGCAATGAGGCCAGGGGAATGAGATGTCCTCTGGTAACGGCATACTCTTTTTTTTTTTTTTTTTTTAAATCAAATGGGCTTTTGTTTATTAGAGACTGGAGGAGGCTTTAAATGTCCATAACTTCACAATACTATTGGAAATGTGATATTTTTAACCTTTGTCAAACTTCATGTGACTGACCTCCATAAAGCTAGAACTATAAAAATATTTGTACCAATTTAGTTTTTAAATATGAGAAAAGAGGAATCAATATATTTGTTACATTTAAAAAATTCATATTATTTCAACTGATAAGAACTCTTTGGTTAAATATCTTGATGATAATGCAGTCTTGGTGACTCAATCCTTTACAGCCTGTACTTAATTTAAGAGACCTTGGATTATCTGAATTAAAAATTGGACAGATTGATCAACTGGTAGACAATCTACTTCCTGGATTTTGTAAAGGCAAGAGCATTTCTTCCCATTGGCATACATCTTATGTCTCTGCACAGTCCTTCTTTGAAAATAAATATGGTAAGTTAGTCTGTTTTTTGTTCCAATTTAAGTAAGTGGTCGTAGTTATTAATAATTTAACAGGTAGCATTTATTCATTTTTAAAGTTGTTTGTTTATTTATTTATTTTGAGAGAGTCAGAGTGTGAACAGGGGAGGGGCAGGGGAGAGAATACCAAGCAGACTCCACGCTGTTAGTGCAGAGTCCTATGCAGGGCTCCAACCCACGAAACCGTGAGATCATGACCTGAGCAGAAACCGAGAGTAGGACACTTAACTGACTAAGCCACCCAAGTGCCCAACAGATAGCATTTGTTAATGTTTACTGTGTGTCAAGTTCTTTCCTGAGTTCATTTGTTCTTTCTTTTATAACTTTTCATACTGGAATAATTTTAGATTTATAGAAAATCTGCAAAACAGTACTGAGTTTCTATATATCCTTCAACTGCCTTCCCCTAATGTTAACTGCTTACTTAACCATGGTGCATTTGTCAAAACTGAGAAATGAACATTGGTACGGTACTTTTAACTATAGACTGTATTTAGACTTTACCAAATAAAGTTTAATTTTACTAAATTACTGGTTTTTCCATTAGGGTTCTTTATTTGTCCCAAGATGTAATATAGCATACAAAACAGATTTTAGAATAGTGGAGTATTGTTTTAATTTTAGGTGACAAACCTTTACTGGATTCCAGGTACTGTACTAATTTCTGAGAATACATTGAAGAAATAGTCCTGGTCCCTTTGTTTTATAGAATGTCTGTATATTTTCTTATTTAAATCTTGTAACAATCTGTTATTATAATGAGTGGGTAGTTCGTTAAAAGGATTTCCATTTCATAAATTTCTTTTTGGTTGATACTTGAACAGTGAATGTTAGACCTTATCAAAATACTTGTTTTAGGGTCACCTGGATGGCTCAGTTGGTTAAGCATCTGACTCTTGACTTCAGCTCAGGTCATGATCTCAGTGTTCATGAGATTGAGCCCCATGTCGGGCTCTGTGCTGACAACGTGGAGCCTACTTGGTATTCATATTTTCCTTCTCTCTCCCTCTCTCTCTCTCTCTCCCTCCCTCCCCACCCGCCCCTCTCTGCCCGTCCCTGCTCTGTTCCCTCTTTCTATCAAAATAAATTTTAAAAACTTGAAAAAAATACTTGTTTGGTATTTTAAAAACTTGAAAAAAAAATACTTGTTTTATATTGATGAAAGAACATATTTTTAAAAATCAGTACAAATTATAACACAAAAGTGCAGGTTTAAATAGTTTTGTGATAAAGGATTGATTTGAAGCTGTACATTGTATACACTTAATTCATTTACTAATTTTTCGTTGTTTTGCCTTTATTTCATATAAGAGTTGTGAGAAAAAGGTGAAGTTTTGGAGCCTGGGGGCTTGGACTAACAATCTGTCCTACCTCCTTCCTGAGAGACGTCTTGAAGCTTAGTGGTTAAGGGTGAGGAGTAGACCAGGATCAAACTCAGTCCTGAGACTGAGGAGCTGTGGCATTTCCCTTATTCCTCTAAACTGCTGTTTTCTCATGTGAAGCCTGGGGGAAAACTCCTTATCTCACTGTGTAGGATCAAATGAAATAATGAAAGTAGTTTACTTAGCCCAAACTACTTTATTCCTTGGCCCATAGTAAGTGTCCAGTAGAGTTAAATTTTTGTTACTATCATTGATGTATAGTAGTAGTATTATTACTATTGCTCTTTTGGCCTGTGTATTTACATTTCCTTTTAAAGTTGTGCCTCTTCCTGCCAGCTGTTTCTTGGCTTAGGCAGACAGAGGTATTAAGAAGGAGTTTGTTGATGTGACTATAGGATTCCTAGAAAAATCCCTGAACTCTTAATTGGGATATTGGGATAGATAAGAATCTGTTTCAATCGATGCTGTTTACTTTTTCCCTAGGCTCATGGATGTTAAGTAGGATGGGGCCCATTAGTGAACAGTAGGAGTTCCAAGGATCGCCAGAGTTTATGGCTTCCAGCTGTGGAAGGAACTGTCTTTGTACCCAATGACCTGAAGCTTTGAGAGAGAAAGATTACCGTGCTTCTGGTTTACAGTGTTTACTCATCACATTATTCATCTGAGTGTTTGAAATTGTCTCTAGGAAATAGCAGTTCTTTTCTCTACGTGCTTTTGACTAACAGTAACTTTAGCTAAACATACATACCTTTTCCCTTTTGGTTTGAATTTAATTTTATTGGCAGCCAGGGTCATCTGCCAGATAAAAAAGATAATCTAAGGGACAAGTGATAGACAGGATAGTGATGAAGAACTGTAATTAGATTAGTAGTGCTCTTAGAAACTCATACAAGCAGAGCCATATGAACAAATAAAAGGCTAAACTCATATTTTTATATTTCTAATATTTGGTAAAATTACTATAGTTCATGACTTCTTTTAGCTTGGTAACTAGAAAATTTGCTTTTTTCAATTTTCTTCCAGGTTACTTAGATATGTTTAGTACTTTACGTTCCTCTTGCCTGTATAGACAACATTCAAGAACTCTTAAAAGTATTTGTTCAGATCTTCAGTACTGGCCAGGTATGAAGCACCTGTATTTATTTTGAAAAACATAGTAGATTTATTCAATGGATTCTGATTTGTCTTTCTTAATCATATTAATGTTTATAAGCATTCATTTGTAGCTCACAATAAACTGATAGAGTATTTGGAATCAGTTAATTTGGGTATGTCCAGTATTTTTAATCTGGAAAATACATAATAGCTGAATTTTTAATGTGAGTGATAAGTGCCACAGTAAATCAACCTCTAGGGAACTTATCTACAGCTTTAAAATAATTAATAAGCACATTTGTTTACTTCCATATTTTTAAAATTTCATTTTCAAAATTGTTTCAATCCATTACAATGACAAAAAACAAATTTAATGAGGAAAAAGGGCAGCAGCAGAGGGGTTTCGTCCGTGGACCAGAAATTTGAGGACTTTCCATAGGGTATAAAATAGATGACCTCACATTGATAGCAAAATCAAATATGCATGCATTTATATTGATTTAATACCAGACACTAGTGGTTAAGTGTCAGGTGACAGTGATAATTATAAATGAAAACAACATATGTTACCTACCTTCATGGAACTTAGAATAGAGTGACACGAAATAGGTGTGTGCTGTTATTTCTAGTAGAACTTAGGAAAAACCCCAATTTCCAAGTCAATAATTGTGGGCTCTGGGATGATTCATAAACAGTTGAATCGAAAAATTCCCCAAAATGGGCCAGTCCCAGAAAGGGCTTGCAACTTTTAGGCTATAATTGGCAAAAGACACTTTTGTAATAAAGTGTGTGTGTGTGTGTGTGTGTGTGTGTGTGTGTAGAGAAGTCTGTCTCTGAAGATTGTGTTTGAGCATTGATGCCAAGGAGAGAAATAATGGACTTGAGTCATGCACTAAGGGAATCCTGCTCATTCATGAAAAGTCCATGTTTCATAGTATAAAGGCATTTACCACCTTGGTAGTTTTAAGAAAAACCTCTATTTACAATCAGTACCAATCACTGTATTCCCTTTACAATTACAAATGGATCAGCAAGAATCTCCACATGTTTGAGGAAAACTTACAGCATGAAAGAGATACCAAGTAGGGCACAGAGACCAGTAATCCTCTGAAGAAATGGTTAATGCAAAAGACAGAAGAATACTTAAGAAGGATGATACATTTTTAAATATTCATGGAAGACTTCTAAAAACTGAGCATGTATTAAAGTATGAAAAAATATCTTAATAAATTTTCAAAAAGTTAGTAACTCACAGGTCAGGTTCTCTGATCATATGATAAAATGGAAATCGTATAACAGGATACCTTAAAAGTGCCTAAAACAAAATTTCCTAAGTATGGAAATTTAAAAATACTTTTCTAAATGTCTTGTGGCTAAAGGGAAAGAAAAACAAATTATAGACAATTAGTAATGAACCACAAGGAAAATCAACATATCAAAATCTTTGAGTTGAAGACCTATTGATGCTGAGTGCATCGTATAATTTATTAGGAAATAAGAAAGATGGAAACTAAATTGATGAAACAATCATTCTGAGAATTTCTTTAAACGAATGTGAGAAATTGAAAAGTATAAAACATGAAATGAATACAACATCCAGGGGGTTTTAATTAAATGAAGAACAAATTTAATTTGAGAAAAAAAAAAGAATGGTCTGATTAAAAACAATGAGAAAATAATGTTAGAAGTGAAAAGTGGTAACAGCCACAGATAATGAAGATTTTAAACTTTTAAGAGTGTGTATAAATAAAAATATGTTGAAAAAATATCCAAGTTATAAATTAGCAGTATTGACCCAAGAAAAAAGATAAGACAATAACTATAAAATTTGAAAGAGTATTTTTCAAATATAATCCCACTGCCCCAGAGGAGGTAGGCTCAGATGGTTTTATGGTTGTGTTCTGTTTTCCAGGATCACCAGTTTCCTATTTTTTATAACTTTCTTAATAAAGAAAAAGGTAGAATAGGCTTCCCTGTTTATTCCACAAGATCGCAGATACTAAAATGTTAGCATAAAAAAGAATCCAATAGATCGATTTCACTTCATAATGTAAATACAGAAATCCTAAATGAAATCTGAAAAAGCAAGTACAGAAATTGCTATCAATATGATTGAGGAATACAAAAGTGATTCAATATTAGGAAGTATGTTAATTTATCATGTTAATTGATTAGAGAAGAAAAACTATTATTTTAGTGTATGAAAAAGACATGTAATATATTTTAATTGTTACACTTCTAGAATGTTGTAGAAAGCTAGAATAGAAAGTAAGTTTAAGGAAAGGGCAAAATTTTGATTGTTTTTGCTTACCAGGTAAGGTGCTTGCTTACTAGGAAACTTAAGAAAATCATCTGAAAAGCTACTCTGGTATCATATGAGATAAATGTCTCAAAATCAAGATCTTATATTCTAGCAGTAGGTTTTATTTATAGTTTTCTTCAAACCCAGCAAATCTTTTATCCTGACAAATATTCAACATAATGTACACATACATATGTATATATGTTGCCTGTGAAACTTTACTACTGAAGGAATCAAAGAGCTGAGTAAAATAAAATGAAAGAATGCCACAATCCTCTTTGAAAGGATTTTGTACTGTGACAGTTTTAATGTATGCCCAAATTTATTAATTCAGTGCAACCCCAATCAAAACCCTAAACACTTGCTATGAAAACCGAGAAGTTGATTTTAAACTTGGGCTTAGTAAAATGGGGTGCCTGGCTAGCTCAATCAGTAGAACATCCAACTCTTGATCTTGGGGTCATGAGTTCAAGAGATCACTTATAAATAAATAAAATAAACAAACGTGGGCCTAAACAAAAGGGGAATCGGATTCCCCCCCCTGCTTTTTTTTTTAAATAAGTTCCAAATAGGCAAAGGTCTGAACAAAAGAGTTAAAAGTCAGTAGATTCCTTTTAAAATCATAGTTCGGGGATGAGGCTCTCTAATCAAAACACAGTAACACAGTGAAGAAAACAAAAAGTTAAAAGATAAGGCTACATTAACTTTATAAAGTGTTACATCAAAAGACAAAGACATTAAAATAAATATTTCAAATATACATGACCTCAAGTTACTAAATATAACGTGCATTCTTTTACAAATGAAAATGGGAAGGGTCATGAGTGATCAATTTGCTAAAGAAATAAAATATTCAATGAAAGAAAAAAATTGTTTCTAAGTTTCCCCCCATAATCTTAAATGCAGATTAAAACAAGACCCTACTTTTTGCTTATCACACTTGTACAAATTAAAAACATTTATATTAACCTGGGTTGCACAGGATGTGGAGAAAAGAATACTCCTATTCATTGGTGGGTATATAAATCCATAACAGCCTTCTAGAGAGCAATTTCTTTTTTTTTTATTTTTTTTTTCAACGTTTATTTATTTTTGGGACAGAGAGAGACAGAGCATGAACGGGGGAGGGTCAGAGAGAGAGGGAGACACAGAATCGGAAACAGGCTCCTGGCTCTGAGCCATCAGCCCAGAGCCTGACGCGGGGCTCGAACTCACGGACCACGAGATCGTGACCTGGCTGAAGTCGGACGCTTAACCGACTGCGCCACCCAGGCGCCCCTAGAGAGCAATTTCTTAGTGTTAAATAATTCACACCTCACAGCTTCACATTAAGAATTTAGCCTACATTTGCTGAAAGATGATATGTACAAGAATTATAACTGCACCATTTTTACCAATAAGAAAACAGGAAACAACTGTCCATAGTAGAAAAGTAGTAGAATATTCAAATTGCTATACACTGAAAATTAGAAGAATGTTAACAGCCATTAAATTGAATGCATTGTCTGACCTGTTCTGAAAAATGTCCATGATATAGTGTTAAGTGAAAGAAGACAAAAAATTGTACACTATTTTTATAGAAAGAGCATGTGTTAAAACACATACAAGTGTAGTCATGAAATTGTTGAGTGGTTACTTCTGGGAAGTGGGATTGGGGTTTGAGGAATTAGACACTGACTTATATTTGATACTCATCAGTAGGTTTTTTTTTTTTAACATTTTAAAACTCTCAAAAAGTTGTAAACTTAACTTACAGATTAAACCCATTTTGATGACCTTAATTATTAGTATAGTGAAGCGTCAGGCAAAGAACTATGTTAAAAAATGAGATAGTAAAGTAGGATATACAGGCTTGGTGTTAGTTTCAAATCTTAGGCATTTTCCTTATAAAAATTTACAATGAGATACTATTTAAAAATTTAAATGTGATACTATTCTGTTCAGTTTTCATACAGTCTCGGGGTTTTAAAACTTTGAAATCAAGAACACGGCGTCTACAGTCCACCTCTGAAAGATTGGCAGAAACACAGCATATAGCGCCATCATTTGTAAAGGTAATTAGAACTCTTTTTTGTTTTTGAAAAAGCAATACATTTCAAATTATTAAAATGAGAACCTTCATTATCTGATTTCTTTTATTGGCCAACTGATTTTCTAAAGGATTAATAACCTGTGTTAAGTCATTATACCTACATCTTTTCTGAGTGCCAGTCATGTCTCTCCATTGGCCTGTTAGACATCTCCCTTTGTCCTTTTTCCTACCAACCTACACCTGCTTGTGTGTTCTCTGTGTTCATGAATAGCATCCACCCAAGCTAGAAACCTGATGATCAACTTTGATTTATTCATCTCTCTCCTCTCACGCCCATTAATCACTAAAGTCCTATTGATCCAGCCTCTTAAATACTTCTTAGGTCTGTTTCTTTTCATCCCCAATTCCACTGCATAGATAGACTTTAACAAGTTTTGCCCAAGTGACTCAAATATACACGTATTTAATCTCCTTGTCTTTAGTTTTGCTACCTTCAGTTTAGACTCCAGACTGCCACCCTCCCACCAATCTGTCTAAAATGTATTAATATAATAATTGTATTCCTCTGCTTTATTGTCAGATTCATGCCATAGTACACAGGGCATTTCATCTTTTGGCCCCTGCCTACTATTTTTCTGTTCTCATCTTTCATTATGGCATCCCCTCTGAACCTCTATCCTGTTCCTCTCTTGCATTTTTAAGTCCTGTTACACAAGGTTGCGTGTAGTTCTTGAGCACTGAAGGCTGTTATTTAATGACTCTGTCAACTTGTTTATGCTTTGTGTTGCCTGTGGTTTAGAAATCCTGTTTTCGGGGTATTGGGTGGCTTAGTTGGTCAAGCGCCCAACTTTGGCTTGGGTCATGATCTCTTGGTTCGTGACCTTGAGCCCTGCATCGGGCTCATTGCCCTCAGGGCAGAGCCCACTTCAGATCCTCTGTTCCTCTTTCTCTCTACTCCCCGCCCCCAGTTTCTCAAAAGTAAAAATAAAATGTTAAAAAAAATTGAGAAATCCTGTTCTCTGTAATGCCTTTCCTGACTTCCTGAGGTAGCATTTATTTTACCAGACCTAGAGCTTCTAACATAATAACAAAATGATTTCAAAAAATTGATTATTTGTGTATCTCTCCCCACCAGTCTGAGAACATTCAGATCATTCGTTATTTATCTTTACATTTTCAGAACTTCTATAAGGCCACGTATATAAAAGATGCTCAGTAAACATTTAATAAATTGATGAGGTTTTTCCTCTACTAGAGATAAAGGAGTGTGAACATCAAACCATTAGAACCCTAAGTCCACCTGTGACCTGTTTGTTGTTTTCACTATAGTGTCCTTTTTTGTTTGTTTGTTTTTGGGAGTGAAGAAAGTATGAGCAGGGGCAGAGAGAGAAGGAGACACATAATCCGAAGCAGGCTCCAGGCTCCAAGCTGTCAGCACAGAGCCTGACGCTGGGTTTGAACCCACAAACTGTGAGATCATGACCTGAGCCGAAGTTGAACGTTTAACTGACTGAGCCACCCAGGTGCCCCTCAGTATAGTGTTCTTACAGAGAGTTTCTTGACCTGAATTGATTGATGCAAGTGTAAGGTCCAAAGTTAGTTTTCTAGCCATTGATGAAGTAATTTATTGTTGAGTATTACTGTAATTCTTCACACAGACGGTAAAAATTAGAATTTCTAGACTCTTTGAATGAATATTTTTGTGAGTTGTGATTATATTTTTGGAGTGTGTTATCTATATAGTCAATCAATACTGATGTGTTGTTTGTGTATTTAGGGGTTCCTTTTGCGGGACAGAGGATCAGATGTTGAGAGTTTGGACAAACTCATGAAGACCAAAAATATACCCGAAGCTCACCAAGATGCGTTTAAAACTGGTTTTGCAGAGGGTTTTCTGAAAGCGCAAGCACTAACACAAAAAACCAATGGTAAGTTGATTTGACCCCATTCATATTTGGGTAGATACCTAAAAGGAAGTCATAGTCCTGTATTTAAGTGATTATAAATCTTTTTTCTAACAATTACCACTTTTTCACTGCTTATATTCTGTTATATTTGTAATGTAAGCTGTGTCAAAATGGAAATATCTGTGGACTCTTTGCCTTGTTTTGAGAACCTATGTCAAGGACAGAAGCCTGAGTGGCTTCGTGAGGTTTTGCTGACAGGGTGCTGAAAGGAAATCATGGCAGTTATACAAAAGCATGCCACGTTCCAAAACCTCATGTGATGAAATATGGTTTCCATCAGTAACCTAATATTTGTCTTTTGTCAAGCTGTCCTTTCTCATTGATGTCATTTAAGGCTTTTTTTTTTTTCTCCTTCCAGATTCTCTAAGACGAACTCGTCTGATTCTCTTCGTTCTGTTGCTGTTTGGCATTTATGGACTCTTAAAAAACCCATTTTTATCTGGTAATGGCTCTTTGAATTTTTCTGACTTTTTTTTAATCTTTTAAATACTTGAATTTTTTTTTTTTTTTTGTAGTTAATATACCTAAGACTTAGGAGTGAGAAAACATGTATAGTTCTAGTGTCTAGGCCCCTCGTTCCTACGAGTCAACACTTCACAGATTGGGTCAATTTGAGATTGTTTCTTTTGTGTTGAAGTAGAAAAGTTTTAATCTGTTATGATTATATGCCATTTGCATTGTCAGAGGGCCTACCATATTTACATTGCTTTGTGGATTACAGGAAAAGTTCCTTCAGACACTGTACAAATTTCAACTTTGACTTGTTTTGGGAAAAGAATATTTTGTTAAAATTTTAAGGTTTATGTTATATCAAAAATGTTAGATTAACTTCTATTAGTGGTTAGTGTTCCACATTTTTAGAAAATTATACCTGTCCAATTATAAAATTTAAAAAACATGTATTAGAATTTTATAATCACAATACAAATGAAATAGTTCTTTATTTCAAAGACACAATAAATTTATGAAAAATTACATATTATTAAACATCAGTTTAAATGAGTCCCATATTTTCTGGGGTTGCCAAGTCTAAAATGAAATGTCAGTTGTAAGTGGTACTGCTTGCTTTTTCAACTATTCAGTTTTTACCCTGTGTTCTCTGTGTTCTTTATGTTTGATTACCTTGAGAGAAAAAACTGATGTACAGTTAAGAATATTAGTTGAGGGGTGCCTGGGTGGCGCAGTCGGTTAAGCGTCCGACTTCAGCCAGGTCACGATCTTGCGGTCTGTGAGTTCGAGCCCCGCGTCGGGCTCTGGGCTGATGGCTCAGAGCCTGGAGCCTGTTTCCGATTCTGTGTCTCCCTCTCTCTCTGCCCCTCGCCCGTTCATGCTCTGTCTCTCTCTGTCCCAAAAATAAATAAACGTTGAAAAAAAAAAAAAAAATTTAAAAAAAAAAAGAATATTAGTTGACCTGGATCAGGAATTCATCCCAGGACTTGCATGTAACCCCAGATATTTTAAGTTTTTTGTGGCATCAAACCTGAGATGAGATTTTAACATCCAGGAATATTCTTTTTATATCTAGAGTCACCTTCTCTTATCTCCTTATTTTCAAAACAGAACCATTACAGGGACACTAGGTGATAACGGAAGAGTAGGAAAAGGTCTGATTATTCCTTTATGTTTCTTAATTTCTTTTTTTTCCCTTAATTTCTTATGTTAAGTAAAACATATATTAAAATATGAAGTGCATTGCCGTTGAGTAATTAATTTCTTACAAGGTTCAAGTGGGTTCAACTACAAATTTATTTGCCTTATTTATTAAGTCTATCTATATAGATTCTTTTTTTAAAAAACTGTATTTACTTAGAGAGCATGCATGCACGGGCGTGCGGATGTGGGGGAGAGGCAGAGAATGAAAGAGAATCCCAAGCAGGTCCTGTGCTGTCGGCACAGAGCCAGACCCAGTGCTCGAACCAGTGAACCTTGAGATTATGACCTAAGTTGAAACCAGGAGTTGGATGCTGAAGTGACTGGGCCACCCAGACACCCCATAGATTTTTTATTTCAATGTTTATGTTTTAATTTTAGAGAGAGAGAGAGAGTGTGTGAGTGAGTGGGGGAGGGGCAGAGAGAGAGGGAGAGAGAATCCGAAGCAGGCTCCTCAGTGTCATCACAGAGCCCAACGTGGGGCTTGAACTCAGAAACTGTGAGATCATGGCCTGAGGCAAAGTCAGACGCTTAACCAACTGAGCCACCCAGGCGCCCCGGACCCCACAGATTCTTAAATAAACAATTTAGTGGCTAAAACTATTAGTGTCCATTCTAGAATTTCTATATTACATTTACTCTTCCGACTCATATATTATTGATAATGTTAAGTGTTTTCTCGTTAACTGTATTTTTACCTACTGACTTTTTTGCATCTGAATTTCTGTCTTTTAAAAAAATTTTTTTTAATGTTTATTTATTTTTGAGACAGAGAGAGACAGAGCATGAACAGGGGAGGGTCAGAGAGAGGGAGACGCAGAATCTGAAACAGGCTGCAGGCTCTGAGCTGTCATCACAGAGCCCGACACGGGGCTCGAACTCGCGGACCGCGAGATCACAACCTGAGCCGAAGTCGGACGCTTAACTGACTGAGCCACCCAGGCGCCCCTAAATTTCTGTCTTAAAGGCAATATTTTCATCTTCTGAGGAAATTAGAAATTACTTTTTACTCATTTATATGTTTAGTATGAAAGCTTAACCAAGGGGGAGAGGTTTAAGAAAGCTTTGTAATAAATAGTTCCTTATAGTTGATCTTACGTATTTTACTGTTCTTCCAAACTTGCACTGTTTTTTTTAAATTACTAGTAGTATTTTTAAAGTTTATTTCAAGAGAGAGAGAGAATCAGCAGAGAAGGGTTGGGGGAGGGTTGGACAGAGGATCCGAAGCTCTGCACTGACAGCAGAGAGCCTGAAGTGGGGCTCAAACCCATGAACTGTGAGATCATGACCTGGGCAAAAGTCCGACGCTTAACTGACTGAGCCGCCCAGGCACGCCTCACTGTGTTTCTTATACTTGATGATGTCATTAATGATCTATCATCCGAGGGCAAGTAACAGTTGCCAGAGGAAGGAGGCTACATCAAAAGTGAAATAATCTCTTTTAAGGTTCGCCCTTCTTAAAAAAAATGCTAGTGCCAGTTTTTAATGCTAGGTTTAAGGCAGTGTATTCATGGTGTACATCTCTGACCAGTTGTAGCAGGATAATTTAATGTTAAAAATGCAAACTCTTGGGCCTTTTACTAAATCTGCAAATCAGAAGTTCTGGGCCATGGTCTGGGAACTTGCATTAGCACCTTTCTCAAGTGACTTTTATGCACAGTGGAGTTTGAAAATGATTGGTTTAAATCTCTGTTATGAGATACTATAGGAGAAGAGGGAAATACTATTTCATTTTAATTAGAAGGTACAAAGATAGTTTAATGAGGGTCATTGATTCCTTGAACACGGCCTAGAAATCCAGTAGACCTAGTTTCTGTACTTCACTGTAAATTAATGAATATGAATTTAGATGTAATTTTTCTGGGCTTTCTTAAATCTGAAAAACAAGGTGGTTGGAATTTTATAAATCTATCAGAGATATAAGCATTTCTTTTCTTCTCTTTAGTCCGCTTCCGGACAACAACAGGGCTTGATTCTGCAGTAGATCCTGTCCAGATGAAAAATGTCACCTTTGAACACGTTAAAGGAGTAAGTTAAGAAGTTTACTTTGCTTTCTTCGAATATTATCTAATTATGTAGCGCCAATATTTGAGTTTAAAGGTGTAAAATAGAAAATACATATATATTGGTCTCTACCTCCAGTTCCAAGCACTAAAACTGTTGCAATTTCCGACGTGACAAGAGTACTAGGTGCACTTTGGGTTCTACAGTTTGGTCTTTGACCCCGATTTCTGACACAGGGCTTCTCAATCCCTAGGAATTTCTTGGGTGATAGCACTGTTTTTTTGTACTGAGGCAACTCTGGGTGGGCTCCTGGGTGGGGACTGGCTATTAGAAAAGACCAAGCCATGATTAGAACTTAGATATTGGGATAAAAGAAATAAAACAGATCTTTCCCTTTATGGATTTTAATTCTAACAGAAATTGGACAATGATATGGCATATAAGGAAATTATAATACAGTATGTTCAAAAGTGAAGTGTTATGGGAAAATATAGAGCAGGGTAAAGGAGATCGGGAGTTCTGAGAGAAAAGTCACAATTTTAAATGGTGATATTCAGTGTATGATTGAGAAGTTGACACTTGAGTGAACATTTAAGGAAGATAAAGTAAACCATGGATTTTTTTTTTTTTTTTTAAAGATATTAAGTAATCTATACACCCAACGTAGGGCTTGAACTAAGAACCCTGAGATCAGGAGTCTCATCCTCAGGGGCTCCTGAGTGGCTCAGTTGGTTGAGCATCTGACTCTTGAGTTTGGCTCAGGTCATGATGTCACAGGCTCATGGGATTGAGTCCTGTGTCAGGCTCCGTACTGAGCGTGGAGCCTGCTTATGATTCTCTCCCTCTGCCCCTCTTGTGTTCTCTGTTTACAAAATAAAATAAAAATAAAAATACAACATAAATTCATTAAGCGCCTCCAGTGATATTTGGAATATTCTTTATTAACAACAACAACAAAAAAGAGTCGCATGCTCTACCAACTGAGCCACCCAGGTGCCCCTAAACCATGCATATATTTGAGCAAAGAACGTTTCTAGCCAGAGGAACATAGAGAGCAAGGACCCTGAAGAGCTAATGTGCCTGGCTTGGTTGTTGACCAATGAAAAAGCCACTTGTAATATGCAATAGAATGAGAGCTCTTTGGGGCGCCTGGGTGGCTCAGTCGGTTGAGCGGCCGACTTCGGCTCAGGTCATGATCTCGCGGTCCGTGAATTCGAGCCCCGCGTCGGGCTCTGTGCTGACAGCTCAGAGCCTGGAGCCTGCTTCAGATTCTGTGTCTCCCTTTCTCTCTGACCCTCCCCCGTTCATGCTCTGTCTCTCTCTGTCTCAAAAATAAAATAAACGTTAAAAAAAAATTTAAAAAAAAAAAAAAAAGAATGAGAGCTCTTCCCCTTTCCATACTCTGTTCCCCATTTAAGCATAAATATTTTTCACTTACTCAAATATTAGGGAATAAAGTATCAGAAGTCACTATGCTGCCTTTATACCAAGTAGTCCTTCCCTTCCCTTTGCAATTTAAACAGCTGTGAACTCTGCTGGAATTGTGGAAAGGGAATAATTGAAGAGGAGGCTGGGGCAGTGAGTATTTGAAAACTTGACTCCTTAGCGCAGAGGGCCCCTCTCATTTTTTTTAAGGTGTGCAGAGAGAGCTGAGAGCCTGCATGACATTGAACCTGTGTTGAGGTTATGGTCAGCAAGGCATTTAGTATATGAATAACTTTGAATATTTAAAAATTTTATTTTAATAAAGAACCAAATCTCTTTTTATACATACTTCATTACTTAATATACCACACTTCTTTTGAATAACTTTGAATATTTAAAAATTTTATTTTAATAAAGAACCAAATCTCTTTTTATACATACTTCATTACTTAATATAC